CACCCAGGAGAGAAACATTTTCTCCCTGAAAGGTTTAATCTGCTTTATCTAGCAGAGTAAACCTTTTTCTGCTGTTTATTTTTTCTTTTTCTTGACATCGGGGCCGCCGGCCACCGTCAGTCAGAAAACAAAACAAAAAACGGCATATGAACGAATAGCTAGATTGCTATTGGCTATTGCAAATTGAAATAGCCAATAGCAGACTAGCTATTGCACCCACCCACTGCTGCTGTCAATCAGCAGAGGTGAACCTGAAGTTCTCCATCGGGTCCTCTTTTACTGACTGACAGCAGCAGAGGGCGGGTGCAATTGCCAGCTTGCTATTGGCTATTGGAAATTGAAAAAGCCAATAGCAATCTAGCTATTTGTTCCTATGCTGTTTGGTTTTTTTTTTATTATTCTGACAGCAGCGGCTGTCAGATTACTAAAAAAACAGCAGATAGCAAGGGAAGCATTAGCTTCTTTGTTATCTGCCATTATTTCAGGGGGGGGTGTGCTCTTCCTTGTTGTTGCAACCCCCCTGTGGGTGGAGGGGGGTGTGGGGGAAAGAGGACACCTCCCTGAAATGAGAAGGGCACCTCCCTGAAATGACTTATTTCAGGTTGGGAGCCCTGTAAAACAAACTGCAAGACTTTGAGCACATTTTCAAACAACATCTAAAAACTGACCAATTTCAATTTTCTGTGGCTTGATCAGTGAAAGATGACTTCGGATTGGTGCCTACATCTTAGTACACTTTGTATATCACCACTCTTCACATAGCTTTATGAAACAGGCCTCATAGAGCAAAAATAAATATTTTTTAGAAGCTGGTCTTAAATAAGATGTAAAGTATATCCATCCAATCAGAAAGGCACATGGGGCAGCCTCCATTCCTTTTATATATGCATGCCCACCACATACTGAGAATGTATTACAATTATTTTTAACTGAACAAATGTGTTATCTTTGAATTTACTTTTATTTTACTGACCTTATCTTATAGTGATCTGGCATTATATACTTATATAAACTGGTTGCTTTACTTTACTTGCATTTTCCACATTATCAAACATTTTGTGCTACCTTATTAAACCCGCCTGCCCTAATCTGGCCTTCAGCGTGCTTTGTCTAATACCCATTCATTCACTATAGATCTGAGCACTAGAAGTCCATTCACTGATCTCACACTTCACTATTCAGATACTGTCCAAGCACTAGATGTTTCTTTGTCAAAAAGAGAGGCCCATAGAATGGAGAAATAGAGAACCATTAGAAAATTTCCAACATTGACTCATTTCCATAAAATGCCCCTTAAAAAAATAAATAGTGGTATTTAAAAAAAGAAAAGTGTCTACATGTCTCACATTAGACAAACTACTTTACATCTTTCCATATGGGTAGCTTAGGCTTCAGTGACACTAGTATGGATAAATACATACGTTACGAGGAAATAAATTAGGTTAGAGAACGCAGTAGCAGAGCATGAAGGCATAAAACAAAGTATGACAAGCAGAAATTGGCACATTAACAGAACATAATAATGAATGAGTCTGGAAAAAAACAATGAAATAAGTGTCTGGAAAGGGCACAAGAGATGTATTGCGACGACAAAAACATTTTTTTTCTCAGTTTCATGGGGGTTTTTTTAGGCAGCGTTAACCAAACCAGTATGACAAACCAGTTATTTACAACTGTATGTTTGTGTGTGTGTGTGTGTGTGTGTGTGTGTGTGT